AAAGTTCCACAGGAACTTAAGGAAAAAACTTATTGACAGTGAGGGTGACAGAGCACTGGAACAGGCTGCCCAGAGAGGTTTTGAAGATCTCCAGAGAAGGAGACTCCACAACCTGCTTGGACGCAGTCCTGTGCCACGTGCTCTAGGTGACCCTGCGTGTGCAGGGGGTTGGACTAGATCTCTAGAGGTCCCTTCCAACCTCAACCATTCTGTGATTCTATGATTCCCCCAGCTCCCAGTTGGGCAGAAACTGTTCATCGCAAATTGATTACAGATAAAAGTCGATAGAAATCGTACAAACACTCGTATCTGAAAGCAATATCTAAAACAGAGCTAACAATAACCAGGAAGAGTTTTGCATCTGTACAATATGCCATAGCCCTGTTTTTCAAAGGGAAATATATTACCTTCCCTTTGAGGTATCACAAGGTGATTAAAAAGGTGAATGGGATCCATGTACACTACTTGATTCTGTTTGTTATCAAGCCACATGTACCACAGATACACTCTACAATTAGGCACCTTTACTCTGCCCCACTGAAAAAGGTTTTGTAAATCATCATCTTACTGTCTAGCTAGCTTTACCCTGTATCCAATTTACTTGTCTTTTGTGATCCAGACTGGAAAGTGAGCTGTCCTTTGTGCTTGGAAGCAGAAGATAAAATACGATAGTAAGACTACCATAAAAACTTAAGAGTCAAAACAACATTTTTTGTTTTCCCCTATAAAGTGTTCTTTTACTTGACAGTCTGCACAACCAAAACATAACTAAATCTTAGATAAAAAGATCTCTTTATCCCTCTTACAGATAATTTTCCTGGAACCACAGAATAAGCCAGACTAGAAGATGCCTTCGGGGGTCTCTGAGCCAAACTCCTGCTGCAAGCAGGTCATGTCCGAGCTGGTTGCGCAGGGCCTTGATCTAGTCCAATTCCAAACAACTCCAAGGAGGAAAGGTTGACAGCCTCTCCGGAGCCCTGCTCCAACAGTTACCCTCTGTCACCTCTGTTGCCTTGCTTAACTTTTAGTCAGGCAGTCTACCAATGACAAAGCCAAGACTACCCACCCCCGCCCCCACACACACAAAATCGAGTTTAGATTCTCTGATCTAATAATTATACCACAACATTTCTTTGTGTATCAACTACAGGACTTGGTTAAGTGGAATCACATGATGCTAAGATCTATAGGACAAATGTGCAAATGCCTGGAATGTCTATGTGCAAGACAAAGTTTCTTAGCATATCACTGAAAGGTCTGCTAGAAAAATGCAAATAAAAGAAAAAGCTGGAGTGAGACCTGCAATAAGAGCAGGTGTATTATATAAATGCTAAAATGCTTAACTCATTTTATTGAGGTAATGGAGAAAAAACAGTTACTACTGCTTAAAGCTAGCACTGATACCCACAATCTTCTGACATCACTTCAGGATTCCCCCTATGATCACCAAAATAGCATCTTAATAATGGTACCATATTCAATTATTATACAAAGTCTTTTAACCAGTAATTTATACATACTCCAAAGTCTAAATAGAAACTACAAAGAGCTCATTAAACCCACAATACCTATTTATGTATGATACGATTTGACTAACACTGGCCTAGTCATGGCCACCAATTTTCTTTAACTAGAGCTAGGAAAATAGACTCACAGTTAGCTTATATAAGAGCTGGCAAAATTTTTATATATAATTTACAATGTAGTAGACAGGCAGGCCGACAGATCAATCAAATTTTTAAATCTAGTATTTATGGTTTACGGAGAAAGGAGATATTTTTTGCAGAGAGAGGAGTTGAGAAATCTCTATTTTATTTGCGTTATCACATCTTTCTAAAAGACCATGATTCATTGACTCAACTTCAAGGAAGATTAGTGCACAAGAAAATTTTTAAGCCTGGTATCTGCACAGCTTAAAACATTTGCTGCAGTAAGATTAGATCAGTGCTGATTTATCCATTTTTCTGCATATGGTGCGTGCAATGAGCTCTACAAAACTCTACAGCTCAGCTGGACAAGTGTGATATAAGTATTTAATAAGGGTAATATAATCCCTGTTAATTTAACAGCATAGGGGCCCTCCTTTATATACTTTACTCACATAAACTATCTTCTGAAAATGCAGCATCACATTCATTATCACCCTTTACTTCTCCTACCAAACCTCAGTATAATTTTTGGGCCTTGTGCACAAAACCATGACCATACTAAGAGACAGCGATGTTGAGAAGTGCTGTCTCCACTACTGGAGAAAATTGATTCCTCTTGGTGCTTGGGGTTTTTCAAGACTCTTTCAAGTTTAGTGACTATCAATTAAGTAAGTACTATGTTTGCAACTAAATTTCTAAGAACTGGAAATAACATTTTAGAAATTTTACATAAGGAACTTCTCAGAGGGGAATTCCTAAGCAGCACAACTTCTCCTAAAACAAAACCAATATGGCAATGGTCAAAGCCATAAGAGATAAATGAAAAAGGAAGCCAAATTAATAGAGTAGGAAAACTACTGGAGCTATAGCAGTCCCGGACATTTGAAAATAAGGATTCATAAGCAACGTAAAGAACTGTTTGGACACGGCAGTTCAAACATCCCATTCTCAGACTCTGCTAGCTCAAACACTAATGTTCAGGCTCCAAGTTGTACAAACCTTTGAGAGTAAGGCAGTTATACCCCGAATGTTATAAAACATCCCCGAATACTATAAGCTATGATCCAATATATAATTATATGCATCTAATAAATAAAAAAAATCAGGACTTAATATGGTCTTATTGCAGCAACCAACAATCATGACATTTTATCATAACCACAAGTGGCACATTTTTATTTTAATTCAAGCTACTTGTTTTAAGTAACTCAGATTTTATCCTCATAAGCTCAGTTTTGCTTGGTATAATACAGTAATGGTGTCTGCTTCGGGATAGACACTGTACAAGTCCCAGTCCTCAATCGCTTTGTGGGAACAGCCAAGTAGGAAGGAAAACATTTAAGCTATCTTTCAAGACACTGCTATCTAAATATAATCATCACTGGTTTTTATCAAGTATTTAAAAGGACTTGGTTTTCTCACCTAGTCATAAAGAAGCTGCCAAACTGTTTCAAAGATCACAATAATTTACATGGAGAAGCCACCTAGCAAAAAGTAATAACTAGAGCAAAAGGAATAACTATATATAAGAAGTTATATATAAGTAAGACCATTTTTTACTTAATGCAAGAAGCTTCATTAATCACATCTCCTACTTAGATATCATGGCAGAGCCAGGCTGGTAAGCTGTTATTGGGTGCAGAGTAGCGGGTTTGCACCCGAGGTGAAATCCCGAGGGCAGCACAAGGCTCCCCGCTGGAAACGCGCGCCCGCGAGCCACCAAGGAGCACGGGCTGCCATCCAGGTGACCGCAGCACCTTTCTCAGCTTAGCAGAACTCGTTTCAAGGTCCTCTAAAGACTTCCTTCTCAACACAGTATGACCTAGTTGAAAAATATGTAAAAGGATTATATTTTTGGCTCTTCGAACCAAGGTTTTTGGCACTTACAAACTTTGCTGAATCGTTTTGGCTGTGGTGCCTTTCCTTATCTGCCCAAGCAATACTCAGCAGTATGGAATTTGCTTCGAGTGCACACTAAAAGTGCCAACACTTTGCAAAAGCCATTATTTCTTTAGTGAGTTGTATTTCATTGTGTATGACAATACAAATTGGAAGCCTTTTCAACACGTCCAGACAATGGCCATCAGCACAGCAGAAAGGTCCTTAAATGCAACCAAGAAAATCTCCAAAGAAAAGAAAGATCTATCACAATATGACCCCCAGAACAGCACGTGACAGACGGTCAGGTTGGTTAGGACGCAAGCACAAGTCTCACTGCTTTAAGCATAAAGGAACGAGCATCGAACAGTCTGGCTAGTGACTATAGACACTGCTGTACCTCAGGTTTCAGAATCTCCAAAATCAATTAAAAGAATCCTTTTTCATTACCGAACATTTTATAACTTGGTATGTTACAGTTACAGATGTGTTACTGATGACTGAGGCTCAGAGTTAACACTCAGTAGAGTTGATAAAAGAGCTAAGCAATTTAATTACACCTTTCAAATCTGCCTGCATGCATACACAGCAGAGCTCAACATTCAAACTTAGTTTCATCCCTTCTACTAAAAATATCCCTTATTACAGAGGAGTAAAAGCAAAAAGCTTATTCAGAACAAAAATTATAATTTAAGACAATGCCTGGTGTGAAATGACAAGTACCTTGCCATATTAATGAGTATTTCAGTAGCGGCAGCACTTACGTAATAACCATGGCCTTTATGGCGACTGGTTATTTTGACAAGAAATCTGAAAATGCTGTAGGAAAATAGCTCAGAGGGAAGGGAAGGAGTGGGTTGGACATGTCAGACACTCTTCTGTAAAGCATGCAAGTCCTGGCCTCTGCCGCTTTCTTGGGTGTGATATCCAGGGTTCAATTAGGAAATCTGTGAATGGATAAAAATGGAATTTGTAGCAAAAATCATAGGGAATCCAGTTGCATTGAAATTTGCTCTTCCAAGTCCATCTCCCACTGTGGTACAGGAAATTGTTAAACAGGAAGGGAATTTTTTAAACAAGGTAACTTTTCAATATATTATGGTGAAAGTGAGGGCAGGAAGGAGAACGGTTTAATTAGATCTTATTTGATTTTTGATTTCAAAATATTGGAGTCAACCCTATTCTAGCATATCAAATGAAAGATGTTGATTGCTGCCTTTCCAACAAGATGGGGCTAAACCAGGGATATTTAGTTTGTCATCACTCCTAGTAAGTGAATAAACACTTTTTTTTTTTTTTTTAAACTAATTTTTTTTCCTTCCTAACCCACACCTTCAAGTGAAATCTTCACAAAGAAAGAGAAGTTTGACCATCATCAAAAATAAAATGGTAATTGTGAGTGCTTATAGCCAGATTTTATGAGTGTGGCCCTGTGTCTTTCTTAAAATGGTTGTTGAGTGCAGCAAGACCACCGCATGGTGGCGGAAGAATCAACATCTTGCTCAGAACCGCTGTCGCCTCCGCTCAGGAAAACGCAGCGTGCTGGGCTTGCACGGTACCTGAACGATTTGCTGCTAAAAGCGTTGATGAAAAACACATTGCTTCAGCATAACCCAACCCCTAGGGGTGGTTGAGGGGGGACATTTTCCCCTCGAATTCTAGTTACTTAAAATGGAATTGTTATTTTATATAGACTGAGAATTTTATTAATCAAAAACTTGAAAATAAAGATCAGGTTATTTTAAATTGAACTGTTATTGATGCTTTTGAAACACAAATACAGTTAAGTTTGTAATGCCACATTCAGTTCAAAAATCTGACAGTATTTCCCTTTGACAACACAGAACAGACCGCAGCATCCCCTGGAAAACTCACTTGAGCATCCCTAACCTCCAGGGAGCCTTTTATCGCTTTCCAGACAGCTCACCAGCTAGATATGGAAACGGGAGACTCCACTAGACACTGCCTTACATTTCTCTGCTCTGACTGTAGCTAAAATAGCCCCAAGTGGACTGTCTTTGCATGTAAAGCAGCTCACAGCCCCTGGCTGGTGGCAGAGCGGAGGGGCCGACGCTCCCGACGGCTCCGCACGGCCCCGGTGATCCCTGCGGGGCTGCCCACGGACACGGGCATCTGCACTGGCACCTTTCTGTCAGCTTGGGCACTTTTTCTGTTCTTTCCCCTCCTTTAAAAATGAAAAATTATAACAAGTCATTCTATTCTGCAACCAAAATCCAGTATCCAATGAAAGGAGTCTTGCAGTCTTTATATAGAGCTCCTTAAATATAATTGCTACTATTTATAAATTAATACTTAGCATATTGCTTTCACCTCTGGAAAGTGTTTTCTTTTTCTCATAAACCTTTACAAAGGGAGCTGGAAAAGCCTTCAGCTGAATTGCAGCAGAATAACAGAATGAACTACTGCAGGGGCAGATCCTATAATGAAAGGCATTAATGACTCTTTGGGATATTTGTGGGCACTGGCACCAGTCAAGACCGCAGCAAAATGGTAAGCAGAAAGTTTCTTCTTCCTTTTATCCTTCAGAGGATGAAAGGGAAGCATGGGACTCCGCTCCCAGAGAGGACAGAGGTGCAGCCCCATGAGCACCTCAAGGTCAGCATTTGTGCCCATAGACCAAACCACGTCCCTTCTGAATGAAGGGGAAGCAAGGAGGGGCTCCAGAGAGGAGCTGCAGGAGCTCCAGCCACTTTCTGAAATACTAA